TACTCATCACGGTATATATTAGGTCTCACAACTTCTTCATCTTATAACTGCAAGTTTGTACACTTTGAGCAATATGGTATTACCTTCTGATTCCTCCTGTCCTCTGGAAGCCAGTGAAGGCCTTTTCCAGGTGTATCAAAGTAAAACGTTTCTGTTTCAGTTTGTTTTGGACTCTTCTTCTACCTCCTGGCTCTGCCTTGTTTGCAGATCCAATCCGGACATCCCAGTCCAGATGCTGAAATGGTCACTTACCTGCTCAAGGATTGGAAAAACAATTTTCAGATAATTCCAAGTCTCTCTGCTATTGTTCAAAATGTGCATCCTGAGTATTATTTTCTCTTCCGCCACATTTCCGTAGCTCTAGCCATCTCTATTTCTAGCTATACAGCACTTAATTCTGTCGTGAGCTTCTATGTGCCTCTGTTGCACTCTGAAAAGTGCTTCCACTCGTGACTTACTCCTCAGGAGGAGACACACTCTCTGACTTCATGCCACTACATCTCTCCATCCTCATCTCTGCTCCATAGACAGCCTTGGCAGTTTCAGTGGAAGAGAGGGGGCAGTCTTACCTGCTTTATAGTTTTGGGCAGGAAGAATGTTCATAGACCAAGAGTAAACACAGAAACACAAAAACTCATCAGTCTAGGTATTAAAGAACTGTGCCCTTTCCCAGTGGGCACAGAATTCTTGAGAGTCCCCACATCACAGAAGTGTGGGATTTTAAGCACTTCCACTTTCTTTGAAACGTCAGTCCCACTGAGAGGTTTAACTCACACCTGACTGCCATATTTGCTACTCACATCCCAGCCCAGTCAATTCAAATTCCTGAGGTCTTAAGCAGTCCCCTAGTACCTGATGAATATCTGTATGCTTGTCTAAAAAACTTGGTTTCCCTTTAGTAGACACCTTGAACCCCGAGGTTTTTTTGACTGCCCTTCTTCACTGCCTCAATCCCTGACTATCTGTGCAGTTATGATGGGATGGTATTTTGAAACATCAATGTCTCTACCCATTTCTTGTTAGCACTAAACTACGTCAAGAAAGAAATGACCTGCTCACTGGAGATTGACCTTAATTATCTAAACTTCAATTCTTAAAACATTTCTGATTAGTTTCTATAATAATATACTTTTCTTTTTTTTTTTTAAATGTTTTATTTATTTCTAGGAGAGAGAGAGACACACACAGTGTGAGCAGGGGAGGGTCAGAGAGAGAGGGAGTCATAGACTGAAACAGGCTCCAGGCTCTGAGCTGGCAGTCAGCACAGAGCCCGACGCGGGGCTCGAACCCACGAACCGTGAGATCATGACCTAAGTGAAAGTCGGACGCTTAACCGACTGAGCCACCCAGGCGCCCCAATATATTTTTCTTTTAAGTAGATCACATTTAAAGTGTTTTTATTTCTTTTTTTCAGGTAATTTTAGAAATTAAATTTATGGAAGTGCTAGGGCACCTGGCTGGCTCAGTCAGTGTAGCATGTGACTCTTGATTTCTGGGTTGTGGGCTCAAGCCCCACACAGGGTACAACGCTTACTTAAAAATAAAATCTTTAAAAAATTTATACAAGTGCTCATTTGTCTCTATAAGCCAATCAGAGCACAGCTCCTTTAATAAAATATACTTCATAATTTAACTTATTGACATCGTCCAGATGTAGGACATCTCATTTTCATATAATGAGAGGTAAAGCCCTCATAAATAACAGACACATAGACACATAGACATCTAGAGAGTTTATGGCTTTGAGTCTACAATTTCAGCCACATGTCAAGAATCAACACAGAAACACAAAAACTAGTCCAGATACCAAAGAATTGTTCTTCCCAGTAGGCACAGAATTTGTGAGCTCAAAATAAGAAACAAAGACAAATGAACAAGAATAACAAACTAGGGGTGCCTGGGTGGCTTAGTCGGTTAAGCTTCCGGCTTTCGCTTAGGTCATGATCTCGCGGTTTGTGGGTTCGAGCCCCGCGTCGGGCTCTGTGCTGACTGCAGCTCAGAGCCTGGAGCCTGCTTTGGAGTCGGTGTCTCCCTCTCTCTCTGACCCTCCCCTGCTCACGCTGTCTCTCTCTCTCTCTCTCCTAGAAATAAATAAAAATATTTAAAAAAAAAAATAACAAAACTAGATTCTCTGCTGTCTTTCACCCAATACCAAAAAAAAAAAAAAAAAAAAAAAAATCTCTGTAAGTCATTTATCCTTTTACAGAGATCACCAAGTGGCCAGACCATACTACCAAATTGCCAATCACTACTGCCACCAGAGAGGCATAATTTATTAACCATACACAAGCCAAAACACAAAACTGGTGGAGAAGAAAATTAAAATTAGGAAAACAGAGATTGAAAAATTCTGTTGTGCTTCAGAGTCACCTCTGAAAGCAGAAGAAATACATGGACTTGGCAATCCATGAGCTAGAGCTCTCTGGTCATGAGTTCATCTGGTTCTATCAGATGAAGACACTGGGCATCTTGGTGGGAACTGTAAATCTGTTAAAGGATAATTCTAAAAGAAATAATTTAAAAGGTAGTTATACAAAATGATTTTATTAACTCTTTTATTAACTCTCTCTGACACATATTACAGTCTGTTCCAGGAGAATCCAAAAAGCAGACACTTTACAGATGAGGAATATTGACCTTGCAAATGGATGCAAAACTGGCTTTTCTACAGAGAAAGAAAGTTTTCCCTCCACTGAATTGAACTCAACTCACTGTTCATAGATAATAATCATTTGTATTACCATCTGTTCTCTAAAAGTTAACTTTAATCACTACAGAATTCTAAAATAGTCTGATTCAAGATAAAGGTGAGTATCTTTTAATATCAGACAATCCTCCAAACGCCAGCATTCCACTGAAAGGACAGCCATTAATCTTTTTTGCTTATTTCAAAGTGTTACATTTCTCCTTACACATTACAAACCAGAGGATATAGGATGTACTAAAGGGAGAAGTTTCTGTTCATTCACATATCTGCCCTACTTCTGATCCTGTGTTAATCATTCAATCAAAAATGTCTACAATCTTATTCTGTGTCCTTAGCACAGCACTAGGTGCGGTAAATTTTGAAAAAAAATGGGTCATGATCCTTGCTCACAGGGTATTTACAAGCTCATTATGGAAATAAGACATACAAGATAGTAGTCAATAAATATAATAAACTGCAAAACTTTCAGTACAATAAGAAAATACAGCAGTATAAAATAGAAATACATCTGACCATTATTATTCATGCAGTATGTATTTGTGAATTTGTCTACCTACTAAAATTTATCTCCAACTCCAAAATCAATACTTGCAAGTGCTTTTGCAGTCATTCATGGACGTATGCAGAGTGGTGAAAAATGTCGTATATTCCCAGCTGAGGTGTAAGGAAGCAAAGCTTGCTTTCTTCTTTCGGCTCTCACACTACAAACAACTGTCCTCTTCACAGTCTATTTAGTACCATGTTTTTCACATTTTTGTGTTTTTTGTGGGTGATTTTGCTGTTTAAAATGACCCCCAAGGGTAGTGCTGTAGTGCTGTCCTAAGCACAAGAAGTCTGCGATGTGCCTTATGGCGAAAATAAATGTGTTAGCTAAGCTTCACTCAGGCCTGAGTTATAGTGCTATTGACCACGAATTCAATGTGAAGGAGTCAAAAATATATACTAAATGAAGTGTCTTTAACCAGAAACACATATTTAAAAAAAAAAATAGGTTAAGCATCAATCAGGTGACTAAACTATGACCGGAGGCTCAGGGGAACCTAGGCCTGTATTTCCACTAGAGGCAATGGTTCCGTATTCACTAATTCGGCGTTGGCAGTAACTTTATACAAGACTAGCCATCACAGCTGATGGCAATCAACTATACTTCTACTGAGGGAAAATGTTTTTCAAGTACATCAGATTTCTTTATTAACATACAAGAGAACAAAAAACGGCTTCCCAAGAAATGACTCCATTCACTGCTCTCCCAAAAAGCTTACAAAAGCAGTAATTCTGCCTTGCAGTAGCCTTTGCTCCTCCCCACTTTATACTTCTTTCTTCCTCAGTTTCTCTCTCTTCCTCCCTCTCTCTCGTTCTCAGAGGGGTCTCCACCTAAAGAATGTTTTCCAATCATCTAGAATCCTATGCTAATATTGAGAGACACCACACACACACACACACACACTATTGAGAGACACTACACACACACACACACACACACACACACACACACACACACACACACACACACACACACACACACACACACGCGAGCCCTGCGGATGTGTTCCAAAATTAACTGCAAAAATCCCTGGTATCACAGTTCTACCGAAACACAGAGTTCCCCACCCGGGGCGTCCGCCTTTTGACTCTCCTTAGGACATCATAAAAATACGCTAAAACACACCTTTTTCTTCTTAGGTCTCACAAAGTCAACACCTCCTACCCTCCCATAGGCCTACACAAAGCTGTTCGGCCCTTAGTTTAGCTCTTGTTTCTTTAAGACACAAGCGGGGCGTTTGCCCTCCTCCGAAATGGCCGTCCGTGCTTCCCCCGCTCTGCGCATGCTTCTGGAACGCAATTCGGGGTTGTCATTCGCAGACTTTCGCGGCGCAAGATGGGGACTTGGCGGCCGCCGAGCCCGAACCTCCCAGCATGCCTTGCAGCCGGGCCGGGAGACCCGACGTCTAGTGATGGGGAGCCCCCGGTGCTTTCGGCCGCCGGGTCGGGTGTAGAGGTTGAGGTTGAGCGCCGAGCCTGGCAATCCGACGTCCGCAAAGGGAAAAATGGAAGCGTGGCGCTGTGTGAGGAGAGGCTACGGCCGCTGTGTGGTGGGAAGAGGCCGGTCAGTAGGGCTGGGTGGCGGGAGGGAGGAGGGAGGGGCGGGGGCAGGCGGCCCGGCTTAACCCGGGGCGGGGCGGGCTGGGGGAGGAAGGAGGAGAAGAGGGTCCAGGCGGCGGTGCCGCCGGGACGAGCCTCCGGAGACCCCGAGGGATAGGTAAACCCGGCGCGCAGCCGGCGGGACGCTCGGCCGCGGGGTCCGGCCCGGGCCGATCGGTGGCCCGCAGGGCTCGTGCTTTCCCGACCTGGCTGGGCCTCGCAGCCCCGGCCCACTGCCCCCAGCCCTGCCCCCGAGCCAGCCCGAGCCCGCGCCCCGGTCCCCGGCCTCCTCCCAGGCCTCAGCACCCGCGGGGAGCTGAGCCTCCGCGGGGAGGCCGCGGGGCCGCAGCAGGTCCCGGGGTGGCCTGACCCCGAGAGAGGCGCGCGCGTCGCACGCACGCCCGGGGGTTTGTTGTTTGATGTTAGTGTCTCTCTCAAACTTTAGTCATTTGCGTATCAGCCTTTACGATTTTTTACCAAATTCTCGTTCCACACTTGTGTTTGCTGCATTCCTCTTGAAATTGACTCATGTTTTGAAAAAGCACTTAAGTAGTGCTGCCTGTATGGGCATCACCCCAAGCAGTATCCACGAAATCTTGGGTTTGATATACTGATTATGGGTTTTTTCCTAATAAATACTTAGATGTGAAAAATCGAAAAGTTTAATTGTGTACGGTATGAAACGGACTGGTGTACCGCACCTGGGAAACAGCACTGTATTAATTATTATATGTTGGGGGATCCGGTTTTAATCTCCTGTAGTCCGGGGCTTGATGACAGTTCATTTCTACAATGTTTCCTGAGTACCAGCTGTGTGCCAGGCACTGTGCTAGGCACTTGAGAAGAGACCAGGATTAAAATGAGTAAGAAAGCTCTGGCCTTGACGGAGCTTATCATCTTAAGAGAAGGAGACATCTCTAGAAGTAACTACAAATACAGAGAATAAGTTTCGGAGCACAAGAATTGTATTTCAGTACAGTAGCTTATTAGGATGGTCCAAGCACCCAAATCTCTATGACTTGCAGAGTTGTCACAAAGCAGAATAGTCGGCCCATGTCATGTCTTTAAAGTTGACAATTAAGTTGAATTTATAGAACAATTTGAGAATGCATAAACAGCAAAAGTATATAATAAAAATTTTAAAGGCCTTTAAAATGAAATGAACATATACAAGTTAAATAACAGTCGATACTGTTTAAGCTAAATTTCTTTGGTGGTAGAAGTGGACATTATTAACACTATCTTGGAAGTATACCTTTAATGAATTCTAGGAAAGGATACAAGTCCCCTGAATCGAAACTTTTTGCCAGAATAGTATGGTAAGAAGATGGTGTTTGAGTTGTATTGTTTCTTAAGAGGAGCCCGAGAACAACATAACTATTCAAGTTCATGATAACACTACTTTGGAGATACTTTGGATGATCAGTAAATTGGTGCTGCTAGGTTTGGAGTGTTGGTGAATTATTAATGAGTAAGTGCTATCCCATTTCATTTCCCTCAAGGAGAAGCATGCCTTTAAAAAAAAAAAAAAGATGGAAAAATGAATTACCCACCTACCAATTAGCAAGAGAGGTAGTTTGGTGAAGTTGTGATAGGTTTTTGTTTTTCCTAGCTATACAGATGTTTGGAAAATGTAATCTTGGTCAAAAAAAAAAAAAACAAAAACAAAACAAAAAAAAAAAAACACTGTTCAGAAACCTGTTTTTACTCCAAACCCAAGTTGAAGGAGAGATTGGCTTTACTTGTAGTCAGCTTATGTATTCCATAGTGATTTCACTATTATGGTTGCTGTGGATTTTATTTATCCAGAGTTTATAAGATACTAGAAAGTGACTCTGAAAACCAGTTTGATGGTTAATTTCTCAGTTGAACTGAGGACTTTTTGAAGTGTATGTGGTTTGGGAGCCTGGTGGATTCTATGTTAGGTATTTTGAATACCATTCATAGGTGTTGAAGGACAGCTTTGAGATACTGCTACTGATAATTAAATCACAGCTGCTTTCACCCGTCCTTTATAGATCTTGAAAATTTTTTTTAGATTCATATTTTTCTTCTTTTTTCAGAGAGAGAGCACACGAGTAGGAGAGAGAGGTAGCGGGAGACAGAGAGAAAGAGAGAGAGAGAGAATATCTGAAGCAGGCTCCATGCTCAGCTCAGAGTCCAGAGTCCGACGTGGGTCTCGATCCCACCACCATGAGATCATGACCTGAGCCAAAGTCAAGAGACGGACACTTAACCAACTGAGCCACCCTAGAAGTCAGATTTTAGATATCAGACATTATCTTTCCTTGAGGAAACATTTGGATTTTATGTGCTATAGCTGAACAAAAAGTGGTACCTGAAGGAGTGTATTTATTTCTTTTAGATACCCCATGTTTCCCCACGACCAGAAGAGTCTGGGCAGAGATTGGACTACACCGTGGGAGAATCTGCAAAGGTGTTGCTGGAACAGACATATTTCTAGTTGTATGAGGTGGCCTGGACATTACTCTCGAGCTCCTTATCCATACTTCAGTAGTAGGCATTTTTCACTACATTGGAGACCACCTTGTTTGTTTGAGTCTAGAACTCCGTTTCAGTACCATAACTGGAGACCTGACAGCCTGAGCCACACCTCTTTGATCCATCTCTCTAGTTACATCATGAACTCTGAGGGAGATGAGCCTTCATCAAAACGAAGAAAACACCAAGGTAAAGGTGACGTTTATCTTGGTGGAGAAATAGACGTAAGCCATAGAATGATTGACACTTTCCTATCTAATAATCCTTAAAACCCCCTCGAGGTTTTAGAGGGGTTCAGTATTTATTTTCAGCCGTTAGTTTTCTATTAGGAAAAAGGAAATTTTTTTTTAAATGACCTCTTGATTTATATCTGTTTTTATCTTTTGTGTATTTAGAAGAAAGCATATATATAGAGAGAGGGAGAGATGGAGAATGAGGTTGGGAAAGAATGTAGGGCTAGATTAAAACATTGTTTAATTTAAGAATAATTATCAAATTCATTGTTTTTAAAACAGAGGTCCTTAGACTTTCTAGAAATTGGTATATGTTCTTTGGAGTCCACAGATCTATAAAAAAATTAAATTTCATGTTTTTATTATTTACTTATGTACTTTAAAGATTTTATTTTTAAGTAATCTCCACACCCAACATGGGACTCGAACTCACAACCTGAGATCAAGAGTCACATGTTCCACTGACTGACCCAGCCAGGTGCCCCTCATGTTTTTATTTTTAATCTAACCTTTTTATGTAAGACCAAAGGATATTCTTAAATACACACAATCATTAAACAAAAGATTTTTTTTTTTTTACAGAGTAAGATTTTAGCTTATTCAGTGTATCTCTTGTACTGGGTTTTATATATAATCTTGAGTCTGTCGGACGTTTTATCTTTTCATAAGGGAACCACATCTTATTCAACTTTGAGAATGAGTTTTCTCTAAATATGTTGATTATTTCTAGTTTTGTCAGATTCTTTACAACCGACTAGACTCCCTCTGTGCTACCTCCTCCCCTAAAGCATATATGAATTATCGAAGTGGAACTTGGAGTTATCTTTCTTACTGAGCCATGGTTTTGGGGGAAGAAAATTCCTCTGGAGATATTTGGAAGTAGACTGTTGTGTTTCTATGTAGAGAGCCGACATAAGTTTTTCAAACAAAGTCCTACAGAGTTAGTCTCACTTGGAAGTCAGAGCTTGCAGGTTAAGCTAGAAGATTAATTAGTGCTCTTTTAAGAAGAAATTCTACAATAAATTTGAGGAGAAATTGTAAGCACTGAACGTAAAAAATCTATTTGTATAGTACTTAACCACAGCATATGTTCATAAACCAGTATTCGTTTGAATGAGCGACAGGTGTATTTAGAGGCATTAAAATTAGGCTCCTAAGAGCAGTCAATCCATAACCTATAAATCTAGGGCTGTACGGCGACATGAGATTGCTTTTCATTCATGCATTCATTGTTCATCAGGTCAGCACACTGCTCTCATGCTTAGCCTTCTGTAAATCTGGTGTGCTCCCAGGTGGAGCCGTGGCTTACTGACATAAGCATGGGCTCAGGAACCACTCCCTGCTGTCATTCTGTCCCACCACTAATTGTGTCAACTTGGACAGGTTATGGAGCCTCTCTCCTCCTTGGTTTCCAAGTGTGAAATAATGCCTACTTTGAAAGCCTGTTGAAGATGAAATGAGACATGTCAAAGTGCCTAATACACTGTTGGCTTCATAGTAGGTACTCAGAAAATTGTGGTGGTGGTGTTTTCCCTTTAATGGATGGGGGATGACATTTACATACTGATAAACTTTGATTGCAACCTGACTCTTTATATGTCCGTTCTTCCTAGGTATTGTGAATAAGGAAAATGCTCTTCGTTAAGCCATATTTGTGACTTCCGATAATTCACTAATACTTTTCAATCAAGAGAACAGCCTTCTAACTTGCCTATCACTTTAAAGTGGTATTTGAAGGAATTGTGTGACACAATTATGACTTTTTAATTAGGCACCCTAAAAACCTGATCAGGCCTATTGCTTACTTTCTTTGATTCATCTGTCTTCTCTGCTGTGACCACCTTGTTCCTCCTGACATGGAAGGTATATAAGCTTTTGTAGTGTGACTTTATGTTGTGAAGTATATGAAGGCCAGAGACTGTCCTCTTTATGAGTCGTTTTCAAATTGTCTTCCATGGAACCCTAGCTCTCAAACACATTTCTGTATGTTTACTAAAAGCAAATGTGGTCAGGAGAAAATATGTATTTCCCCCATCATCCTAGCCCCAGCCTATGAGGGATTGATGGTCATGACGCAAAAAGTAATGCCAGAGAGTCATACAAGTTTGCAAAGTTTGAAAGACACTATTAATTAGATAATTTGATGGTTTCAGTTATTTCAAAAAAGGAACTGCAAAAGAGTTGGCTTACAAACACTTGTCAGGACTGTACAAATCTCAGTGAATTTTATGTGCCCTTACATATACATATTTTACAGGAAAATATGAACAACTTTTTTAGACCTTCATTTTTCATATCTTAATATGATAGTGGCACCAGCGTAGGGCTGTAACTTTATCATGGTGGCTTGCATTTTGTTTGCATGACTAGAGCCCTTTATCTCCTGTACATAAGAAGACTGTGATTTGTGGCTACAAACCATTATAGACAGTCCCCAATTTATGAATGAATTGTGTTCTAGATAATTAGTTCTTGAGAATCAGTTGATGATCCCCAGTTTCCGTTTTCCCCATACACACTGTTACAATGTCATAGTAGTTCTGCGGGGGGTGTGCAGTTAGCTGTGGTTCTGGGCCTTTGCAGGTAGGATTCTCCATATTCAGTGAAGGATGGGGAAGAGGAGGGTTTCCATCCCTTTCCCGGGTACAGAACAAGCTCTGGGCCAAGTTCTGTAATCATTGAAGGCTTTTGTTTAGTTTGGTTTTCTTTCCTTCCACCTTTTTCTTTCCCCTTCTCTTCAGGCTCTTATACCTTCATGGTACCGTATGTCTCCCAGCACCGTGTTCCACCCAGACCTCACTATTCATAAAAATGATCTTCCTTTTCTAGCCTCTGGTCAAAATTTCTGTTCCTTCCATGCAGCAGATATTAAACATGTTTCCCAGAGGGTGTTTTTAAATTTTCACTTTATTGGCATTTCTATGGAGTATATTGGTATTCTGATTGTAAATTTATCATTGTAGAAGATTTAGAAATATCACCCACACTCCTTCCACTCAGAAATAACCACTCTTAAAAATACTGGTGTTTCCTTTTGGTCTTTTCTCCCCCTATGTATGGAATTTTTTTCCTCAATTTAATTTTTAATTACTGGAATCCTAGGCATTGTAATCCAGTGACGCAAAAACCTTTATGCAGGAGAAGGGAGATGTTCTAGGGCTGAGGTTTTTCCTGTAATCTTATTCAGGCTTGAAAGTCCATCTCCAAATCTGTTTTCCCAAGTTCTTCCCTTTCCTTGTTTTCCCCTTCTGTTGAGCTCATAGAATCTCTAAAAGTGCCACATTTTTCTCCATGGTTTCCATGGCAGTAAGAATATCCTCCTTAATTAATGGTGGGGTGAGGGAAACAAGGCCAAAGGGGTGTGTGTGTGTACCTTTGTGTGTGTATGCAGCTCGTGTCTAAGTGAAGAACTACCTATAACTGCAAAATCTCATGCTGTCGGATTCTCTCGTATCACTGTATCTTTGCAGAATGTAAACTGTCACACATTCCTGGTCGCTCGCTGTATGCTGGGTTCTTTAGCCAGCCCTTACCTAGCATTCTGCACCTGTGTTCTCTCTCATTTTTGATTTGGTGTCCATTAAAAAGAATTCTTGCATTCTTTTTGTTTGCATCGTTCCACTAAATACTGCTTCCACGTATTGCCATCATATACCCTTCATTCATGTCGAAACCAGAATTCTGAGATAAGTTCTTGCTAGAGCTTAATCATTTGATGATCTTGTCTTACTCATACTAAATAAAATACGGTGCGAAATCATCTTATTGAAAAGCCGGCTGTAACATACAAATACAGTTGACCTTTGAACAACACACAAGCTGTGTAGGTCCACGTACACGTGTACCTTTCTGATTAAGTACGACACGGCACTCTAAACCTATTTTCTCCTCTTAATAACATTTTCATTTCCCTAGCCTACTTGATTGTAAGAATACAGTATGTAATACATGTGTCACATGTTAATCTACTGTTTACGTTATCAGTAAGGCTATCAGTCAGTGGTAGGCTATTACTAGTTAAGTTTTGGGGGAGTCAGAAGTTTTATGCAGATTTTCCATTGCAGGGGTGGGGGGTACCCTTGACCCTCCTCCCCCCGCATTGTTCAAGGGTCAACTGTATATTGTTATGGTTATGAAGTTGCCAAGCTTGTCTGGCAGATCCACTTCTTAACCATTAAGTGAGAAACTAGGATGCCTATTCAGTCTTAGCTTTATTAACATACTCTCAGTCTCCAAAATGACTTGCCAGATCCTTTTAAACTTGTTTTGTACCTGTTGGTCAGTCATTATATCATTTTACTGCCTTTGTAATCAATTTGATGACAATTTACAATTACTTAGGGCTATGTTGCCATTTCCTAGGGGAAAACATTCTGTTCATCGCCTGTAGGAGTTTTTAAAAGGCAAGAAAAAGCTTACATAGAGGAAAATTTATGGTTTGTTTTTCACTAACTCTTTATATGTTGTTCAATGTATTTTAACAGGCACAATACAACGGCATTGGGAATATATATGTAACCATAGTAAAGACAAGACAAAGATCCTAGAAGACAAAAATGTTGACTCCACATGTGAAGACAGCGATACCAAGTTTGACTTTTCAGTGATGTCCTATAATATACTTTCACAAGATTTATTGGAAGACAATTCACACCTCTATAGACACTGCCGGCGGCCAGTTTTACACTGGAGTTTTAGGTTTCCCAATATTTTGAAAGAAATTAAACACTTTGATGCAGATGTAAGTGCAGAATATCTCCAAAATTCTTCACATAAGAAAAGTTCACTTGTGTACTGAATGGTTTTAATCTGTTTGGTTTGTGGTAGGAGGTTTTTGGGTTTTTGGGGGGTTTGTTTGTTTTTTTTGTTTTGTTTATTTATTTTTGTGAGTGAGTGAGGGAGAGAGCAAGCAGGGGATGGGCAGATAGGGAGAGAGAGAGGAAGAGAGAGACTGAATCGCAGCAGGATCTGTGCCATATCAAGCCCCACAGAGCCTGATGTGGGACTTTAACTCACAAACTGTAAGATCATGACCCGAGCTGAAACCAAGAGTCAGATGCTTAACGGACTGAGCCACCCAGGTGCCCTGAGAAGGTTTTAAACATAGTGATGGAACAGTTTTTAACAACGTAGCATGACTTCCAAAGAGTCATTTGGTAACGGTTGTTGGTATAAATAATCATTAAATTTTCAAAGAAAAGATCCAAAAAGTTCTACTTTAACAGACCGTTTTGAGACAGGGACTGGCATTATATTAGGTATTTAGTAACTGTTTCCTTTGACTTGAAATGTAAATCATTCTTATAAAAATCTAGAGGATGGCATTCAAATTACCTCGAGAAAGTACTAGAAGGACTTAGTACTAAGGAACATTTTAAATCAAGAAAACTACCCCAACATGTAAATTAAAAATATTTCTTTGGGGAAATACCAGTTTGGGATAGTAAGAGAGAGAGCTTCATATATGTAAAGGCCAGGGTTTGGGGGACTGATCAAATTTGGAAACATTAATTTGATAATTAAAAAAAAAAGATTGTGTCTTTTATTTTAAGTTTCATTAGATTTTTAGAATTTTAAAAGCCTGTTTTTAAAGATGAAAGCACCAGAAAGTTCATATTTACTCTTTGTTTTAATTCAAACCATTTTTTTTCTTCCAAGGTACTTTGTTTGCAAGAAGTTCAAGAAGATCATTATGGAGCAGAGATCAGACCAAGTTTGGAATCTTTGGGTACAATGTAACTTTTATTCTAGCCAGATTTATTTTGGAAGATTTGTGTACTATTAAAGCATAACTTGCTAACAAAGATGTGTGGTATATTGGCAAAAAAAAAAAATCTTAATTTTGAAAAAACTTAATACCCATTTCAAAAAGTCAGGAAAAGATTGAGGTATTTCAAGTGGAAACTTTTGTGTTGATACAGAATTTCGATTCAAACAGAAAAGCGTGTAAGAATCTCTTAATAGCTTCCTTTCCAGCAGTTGCTGTAGCCACAGCTAGACCTCTCAGATTCTGAGTTCCATATCAGAGTCCAGTTAGCTAACGGGAAGAAGCTAAAAACCTGCTTGATGAGTGAACACGTCTAGAAACAGTACATCTGTTTGAGAAATGCTGCCTACTTTGCATTCATTCCTCAGCAAATATTCTTTGAATGCCTACTACATCCTGTGCACTGGTCTAAACTGTGAGCCAAATAGATGAAAAGTCTCTGTCCTTATGGAGCCTACATTTTGGTGGAGGAAGGCTGACAACAAATAAATACTTAAATAGCACATTAGGTAATGATAATTTTGGAGAAAAGCAGGTAGGTAGAATGGGTCACATTTCAATTTTAAACAATGATCAGAGAAGGTAGGTAACATTTAAGCAAAGACTTACGGGAGGGAGGCGAAGGAACGAGCCACGCCTAGAGCATTGCAGATAATGGAAATAGCAAATAGCAAAGCCACGGCCCTGAGGTAGGAGTGCTAGGCAGGTGAGGAGGCGGTGAGTGTTGACAATGGGGAAGAGTTATAGGCCAAAAGGTCAGAGATGTACCATAGTGGCGGTGAGGGTGGTAGATTATCCTAAGCCCTTATATCCTTTGTCACAGCTTTTAGGAGGATGGAAATGAGAGCGTGATAAGGCACTTAACATTGACGACTAAAGTCTGCAAGTAAAGACCCATTCCGAGGACCTAGACCCAGTCCCAAACTTAACATCCTACATTATTAATGTTTTGCAGAAAACGCTTTGATAAATATTGTTCAAAAATATCAGGAGAGCTGTGTTTTGCCATATATATGTTTGTATGCCAGTCCCTTGTGTTAAATTTATTCCTTTCTTCTAGGTTATCACTGTGAATACAAGATGCGGACAGGAAGGAAACCTGACGGCTGTGCCATTTGCTTCAAACATTCCAAGTTTTCACTCTTATCAGTGAACCCAGTGGAATTCTACCGCCGTGATGTTCCTCTGTTGGACAGAGACAACGTTGGATTAGTGCTGCTGCTGCAGCCCAAACTTCCAAGCGCCGCCTCTCCTGTGATCTGTGTAGCTAACACACACCTGCTGTATAATCCAAGGCGGGGGGATATTAAGCTGACCCAACTGGCGATGCTTCTGGCAGAGATTTCCAGTGTTGCCCATCAGAAAGACGGCAGCTTCTGCCCCATCGTCATGTGTGGTGACTTTAATTCTGTCCCCGGTTCTCCACTCTATAGTTTCATAAAGGAAGGAAAATTGAATTATGAAGGACTCGCCATCGGAAAGGTAAGTGCTTGCTTCACCGTTACTAGGAGGTGGACTTAGTCTCTCTGTTCACTATACTATGAGGATGGTCGTCACACGGCTGTTTGGAAACCTCAGATGACCCAGTACCCTCAGGTCACCAAGCTGTGATGATTGTCCCCAACTAATAATGAGTAATTGTGTTCACTTGGTTGAGTTTCTGCTTTCCCATCTATCCGCAGCAACATTCTGCGTGCAGGAATGGGCAGGCAGCAAACACTTCTAAATGGGGAAGAAGGAAAAATAAAAGCATTGACAGACAGCACTTTGTAAAGGGGCGCTTGGCCAGCTCACTCAGTAGAGCACATGACTCTTGATCTCAGAGTTGTGAGTTCAAGCCACTGTGGGTGCGGAGCCTACTGAAAACCTGAAAATTAATAAAAAATACTTTGTAAATAAGGAACTATTCATAAAGGGGCAGAACGGGATTTTGAATGCTGGATGTGGGCAATATAGTTGGCAGAACAGTAATTTAATATTTCTTTAGTCTGCACATCTTCCTTTTCGTAATGGTAAATATTTTCATTCCTTAGCTGACTGTATCCCCTGTTGATCCCATGTTTTTTTTCCTTCATTGTGCTCTCTGTTGCTTGCTTCAGATCATTTACTTGATCTTCAGGATTTTAACCAAAACAAACTCTCCACCACTGAGTTTTGAGTGATCGTTTAAAATTTTGCAAGAGTTGATCTCTCTGAGTACTTTATATAATAGGAGTTCTGTTGCAGGTGGCAAAAGAGGGGGGGACAGTATTAGTCCAAAGCTATAGATCATGTAGATGTCCAAATTAGAATAATATGTATGGGAAAAGATTGTCATTTATGTAAATAGTAACTTTTTTCTGAACTGTATTTGAACAAGATTTTGTAAGCACAAATAATCACTTCGTATGATAAAGAACGGGTAGTATTTACCATTCTTGGATTTCCTCTTCTTATTTAAGACATAAACTCTTTCAATACATAAACTATTTAAAATCTATTCACTTAAGATCCCTGTTGAAATTTTGTTTAGGTATCTGGCCAGGAACAGTCTTCACGGGGACAAAGAATTTTATCTATTCCAATTTGGCCCCCAAACCTAGGTATCTCACAGAACTGTGTGTATGAGGTACAGCAGTTACCAAAAGTAGAAAAGACAGGTAAGTGTTTGCAGTATATCTTGGCAGTCTCCTTGATAATAGTGTTCCTTTTGAAGACATAAAACTACATTTTTCAAGGGATACCATCTCAGGAATGAATATTCGTGTATAAAAACATAGTGCTTACTTGCTTAATTCTTTTTTAAAGAACTCTAAATTTACCATTTTTAAGTTGACCTAGAATTTTCTGCATGGATTACTTGCATGTTGTTTTGGAAATTTGCATTTCAGTTTTGCTAATTATGGAGACCATCAAAACATATAGATTCCTGGATGAAACATTTAAGTAGGCATCCTGTCTAAACTAGATAATCCTAAATATTGTTCCTAGAGTGAGAGGACTATTTTGTGGCAAACGAGAACAAAACAGCATATTGACTGTTTAATATATTTCTCTTTGTTCGCACAGACAGTGATCTAACAGAAACAGAGCTGGACAAAACGGAGGTCCTAGTGACGGCCGAAAAGTGAGTTCTGGAAAGCAACAGTAGGCATTTACTGACTTTAGTTGGGTAAAAACACCATTTCTTAAAAATTGCTTTGGATAAAAAATGAAAATTATGTTATTCCATGCTGGTGAAGAATGCTGGCTCTTAAATCAAATAGACCTGTGTTCCAGTCCTAACTTTGCTACATTTCAGCTGTGTAATTTTGAGCAAGAAACTTAACATCTCTGAGATTCAATTTCCTTATCTATAATTTGGGGAGTTGTGAGGATTGCATGACACAAAGCATGGAAAGCTTGATATTTGCCACATACTAGGGGCTTAAGCAGTGTTATGTAAAGCAAACAGCCTCTCCACGGACCTGGAGCAGCTAGTACTCTGAAATTGATTGCTATTACATACTTAAACAAAGGTCAAGATCACAGGGAAATACCTTTCAGATTTCAACAGAATGCTTAGCCTCCTTTGACTTACTAGATCTCAAAACAATCTGTAGGGGAATTGATCAAAAAAAGGTTATACCAGTATAAATAATTATATTTAAATTTTTATAAATACTTTATAAAAATATTTATATCTCTCAAACTACAAGAAAAGGTTGTCAAAGGTGGAGGGCTGCAGGAGCCTGGATTACCTAGTATTGAAGACGCATACATAGTCGGGGCTGTGGTTGAGAAACAGATGCGCGTTAATACAACAGGATAGAGACTCGATCTTGTCTCTTTGGGAGAGTCTTGAAATGTCTTGATTTTGTGTTGTAGCTCTTTTGTTACTTTTTTAATTTTTGTGTTACCACTTAACATTTAGGGACCAAATTAGAACCACCTCTTACTCATTGTATTTGCTTTCTTCTCAGCCTTACTATATTTTGTATACCTTGTTTTGAGAAAATATTCTCTCATATATAAGAACCTAGTAAGATAAGTAATATTTTCTGAATTTTTGAAAAAGAATATTTAAAAATTCATGATTAAACCTTACAAATATAGTAAAAACGTGCCTGAGTAAGATTAATAAAAAGGCTAATCTGACTAACAAATATTTGGATTTGAATAATTCTAAAATGTTTTTATAACAAAATGAGGTATAAGAAAAGATACTTTTAAGTATCTATATGTAAATATAGTGTGCTTATATGCAGAGCTTATATCTATAAATCAAAAAATAGTAACAGAAACCTATTTTACATTTAATAGTATTGTAAACATAAGTCCTTAGACATGAAATGTCACTAAAACTTGAAAGTAAGGGCATTTTGAAAGAACTACCTTCCTTTGTTCTTTGACATTGAGCTTTTTTTTTTTTTAATGTTTATGTTTGAGAGAGACATACAGAGTGCCAGCATGGAAAGGGCAGAGAGAGGGGGAGACGCAGAATCTGAAGCAGACTCCAGGCTCCAGGCTGTCAGCACAGAGCCAACACAGGGTTCGAACTCATGAACTGTGAGATCATGACCTGAGCTAAAGTCAGATGCTTCACCCAGGTGCCCCTGACATTGAGTTTTTTAAAAAGCAGGGCAGCATCTTTCATGTGTATCTTAAGCACCTAAGAGAGTGCTTAGAACTTAGAGCTATTTGTTAAATGTTTGTTGAATTTTAAAACGTTAAAAAAAACTTTTCATGATATAAAAGATCTTTAATCTTCAAGATGTGTTTATAGGAAATGATTTTTAAACCCTTAATTTAGTACATCACATGTATTTGTAACATGAGATTAGTATAAACCATTACTAACAGAAGCTGTTTTAAGATGCAGTACAAAATTATCTGTTATATTATAGCAAGAATAGTCCTAGAAAAAGGTAACCTCTCTGACAATAAAAGTCTGGTGGGTTCTAGATAATATTCATAAAGGCCACTTTTTCTTAAAAACACAACAGGAGTGCCTGGGTGGCTCAGTCGGTTGAGCATCCAGCTCTTGATTGTAAGCTCAGGTCATGATCTCAAGATCATGGGATGGAGCTCCACATCATTTCCACACTGAGCGTGGATCCTGCTTAAGATTCTCTTTCTCTCCCCCCCCTTTCTTTCTCTCTTTTTCTCTCCCCCCTCCATTCTCCCTCTCTTCCCCTTCCCCTTCCCCTTCTCTCTCTGCACCTCTCCCCTGCTCCTGTGCTATCTCTGTCATTAAATTAAGTATCCTTTAAAAAACACAACAAATAACTTATAAATTGTTTTAGAATGCATATTAGTAAATGGAGGCTTTTAAATATGTTACAATCAATAATAAATCACATTAATGTGTTAATTATTGAGCTTTTCCCCCCTCTGTGTCACTGCCTTGTGAATGGGTTTTGGATATCCCTGCATGATTAATAAATGCCAAATTGTGATATTGTCTCTTTTAAAAAGCTTGTGTGAATGCCTGGCTTTGTCTGGAAATTAAGTGAGAAAGTGCTTTAAAAAAGAGGAATTCTAGGGACACCTGGGTGGCTCAGCCAGTTGAGCCTCCGACTTCAGCTCAGGTCATGATCTCACAGTTCGTGGGTTCAAGCCCTGTGTCAGGCTCTGTGCTGACAGCTCAGAGCCTGGACCCTGCTTCGGATTCTGTGTCTCCCTCTCTCTCTGCCCCTGCCCTGTTCACTCTCTGTCTCTCTCTCAAAAATAAACAAACATTAAAAATCTTAAGATAAATAAATTAATAGGAGAAACTCTAAAAATCAAGAAAAACTTGGTGGATGCTAAACACTTATTCTTTTCATTTTAGATTATCTTCACATTTACAACACCATTTCAGCTTGTCGTCTGTTTATTCACATTATTTTCCTGACACTGGAATTCCAGAAGTGACCACTTGTCATTCCCGAAGTGCCATAACTGTGGATTATATTTTCTATTCTGCTGCAAAGGAAGATGTTGCCGGACAACCAGGTAAAGAGTGTGTGTGATCTGACATCGTGCATTGAGGATACAGTAACTAAAAACTCAGGGCTGAGGTTGACAGGGTCAGCTAACCATCTAGGTGACGTTCTAGATTTCAAAGTTTAAAATACTTTGAAGTTGGTAATATATTGGAGTAAATCAGCTAATCACCTGCAAAACACAGAGTCAGTGATGCACCTCAAAGCAAATTATTGCCTAAGAATTCTGTCCTTCACCCGGCCTTCCAGTTCTGGTCAGCTGCTGAGTTTTGGGTCTCTCATGCCCTTGGTTTCTATTTTATTGATTTTAGTTGTCATAAATGTACTGTTTCTCTTTTGAGAGCAACATCAGATAGTTTTGTACTTAAGTGTTACTAACACATACTGCCTTCATTGGAGGGTCTTACTTACTGCCAGCAATAGATAGTGGTGTCATCTCGACTCTGGAATACTGGATCTTTCCCAAAAGGTAAGTCCATTATGTGAATATGTGGTTTCGAAAAGCAAAGATGATAAAACACTTTTCCTTGTATGATTCAATGAGTGTAATATCTTAAATATTAACCAAAGGACTTGAAATGGAGAAGAAAATGCAGTTTAAAATGACTGGCAGTCAAATAATATCATTCAGAAAACTTTGCAGGTACAAAATGTGGGCGGCTCTTTTGTCTTTTCTGATTCCCCCCAACCCTGTTTTGTTGTACTACTTTCCTTTTCTCCTTCTTTATCCTGTTTGTGTTTTCCTTCCTACTGAGGATCACTTGATTAGTAATACTCGAGATGATTTACCCCTCCCCACTAGATCAAGTCTAGGAAATAAATGGTCTTGCTGCTTTGAATCTGTTGTAGGGGCAGTTGTCATGCTGGAAGTGCTCACTAGGTGGCGCGAGTGTGCCATGGGCCAGCACCTCCAATGATTTCCCCTTAGACATGTCCTCTTTCTCTACTGTGAGCACTGACTCTGGGACCAAAATATTCTAATTTTTTAAAAAAATGCTTATTTGTGAGAGAGAGAGAGAGCATTAGCAGAGGGGGACAGAGAGAGAATCCCAAGCAAGCTCTGCTCTGCCAGCTCTCCGTGCCACCCAACTGGTTGAGCCACCCAGGCACCCCCAAAGTTTACTAATTTACTCTCCAGCCAGCTTATAAACTTCCTGCCCCACCGTGGTTCAATCTTTCTGCCTTATACAACTCCAGAATAGTTGATGAATGAATTTATGTAGTTGTCAATCCCAAATTACTTGTAACATTCTTATTTTTACACTGATACTTTTCTTCTAAAGATTATTTGCAAGGGTATCTGGCTGGCTTCATTGGCAGAGCATGTGACTCTTAATCCCAGGGCCATAAACACAAGCCCCACGCTGGGTACAGAGATTAATTTTAAAAAAATAATAAACTTTAAAAAAAGCTTATTTGTAGAACTGAAAACAAAAACATCTGAACTAGGAAGAACAAACATCCGAAACTACTGTGGGTTGGAGAATTATAATTAGGTTATAACTCAATATGAAATTGAATTATGGGGCGCCAGGGTGGCTCAGTCGGTTAAGCATCTGACTTGATTTGGGCTCAAGTCATGATCCCAGGGTTGTGGGATCAAGCCCCACATCGGGCTCTGCACTGACAGCACAGGGTCTGCTTGGGATTCTCTCTCTCCCTCTTTCTGCCCCTCCTCTACTCACATGTGCATCCCCTCTCCCTTCCCCTATCAAAATAAATACACTTCAAAAAATTAAATGAAATTTAATCATATTCTAAAAATTGTTTCCTATTAGACTTCCAGAGGGATCTGAAGTTCTATATCATCGTTTTTTTTTTTTTAAATAAAGACTTGTTTCATTTACAGTGATTCATTTACAATGACCTATTGACAGTTTCACTAAATAGCAATATGTTTCTTTAATGTAGGAGCTGAAGTTGCTCTGGTTGGTGGCTTGAAACTTCTGGCCAGGCTATCACTTCTCACAGAACAAGACTTATGGACTGTTAATGGACTTCCAAATGAAAATAACTCTTCAGATCATCTGCCTTTATTGGCTAAGTTCAGACTCGAGCTGTGACTCTTCTTTAATTACATATACACTTTTGTGTCCAATTTTTATTCTTTTTCAAAAAGTGTAAAATAGTTCTTGAGAGCTTGCATGTTTATTTTTGCGCTGTGGAGTTTCGGATTCGGAAGAGGTTCTGTTAAATGCTTGAGACAGATGTCCAAAGCAACACGTTTACAACAATTTTCTTTGTAATAACAAAAACGTATTTTCCTGACAAGTGAGATCTAAATGCTCCTTATTGTAAAAGAGTTGTAAATATTTTTTATTCTTAGTCCCAGTAAAATTGACAGTGATTTTTAAATATAGTGCATCCTCTTTAGTTAGTACAGAATTTCAGTTGATGTTTTTGGCAAGCTTTACAGTGGATCCAAAGTATATTTGAGTTCTTGCAAACCACAGCTCATTTCCCTTCCAGAAGGCCTGATTTCATTGTGCGGACCATCTGTTTGTCAAGTCCTAATTCATCTCCAAAATCACTGGGTCGTTCACAAGTGTCCAGCCAGCCAGTTTAGTTTGGTTTTGAGGGAGCTTAATAATGCTTTCTAAAGTTGTGCAAGTTGCTTAATCCATCTTATTACTATCCCGAGCCGTGTAAAATGTCTACATTTTGTTGGGAAATGTAGTAGGAGAGGAGTGTTGCACATGCCCCCTCTTTTCCATCCTGTGAGACAGACCATTCCAGCATGCCAGAGAGAGGAAGAGACTGGGTTATAATGCCTTCATTTCCCCAGCAATTCTTTTTTCCTTTTTTCTCTTCAGTTTCAGGAAGAGATCCCTAGGTTGGGGGAAAGACTTTATTTTTCTGAACCAGTTCTGTAGAAACTTATTTTATTAGGAAGCTTTTCTTTAGAACAAAGTGGCAGCTATAGGATTATTTTGGTTTTGCCTCAGATATTTAGGAAGCCCACAAAACTAGTGGGAGATACCAACTTGGAGACCTAATACTCTCAAGTAGTAATTTTAACGGTCTTAGTGGTTTTGTTTCTAAGATGTCAGTTACTCTTTCTTTCATCGTGAGGCCACAGTGTGCGATGGTGCTGACGTTTTTTTTTGTAAAGTGGTTAAGAGCAGGTCTAATTAGTCTCACAGCTGGCACTATGTGAATGTTTGAATCGAAAGTTTGAAAATTGAAAAAGTGAAAACATCCCCATTTTTGAGACATTAGGATCAAAGAATTATGTGTGTTTTTACTAAGTAGTAATTTTATATTTGAATTACACTGAATTATAAAAGTTTTTACAATGAGCGTTCCTCGTAGAATGACTCCTCTGAAATTAGAAAGCCGTTCCTCCAAGTCCTGGACTTCAAAGGTTTTTGTATGAAAGTATATTGACTACAGTTATTTTTTAAGAAAATAAATCAGATGACTACCTGAATAAGACGTGTCACGGGTTATAAGGATTTGCCTAGTAAAAACTGTAATAAGCAAGTATTTTTAAATGTTTAATTTCTCACTTTTTTGGGTTTTTACTTACAGTATTACCTGTAGTTCTAAGATTTTCCACATTTTCTAGTAACAGTTTGCAGAATATTCAGTGTTCTAATTAGCAGATATTGTTGCCGTTAAATAATAATAGTGCAATTAGTCCCTTTTAATATTGGGGAAAGAGAAAGAAAATTCATTAAGTACTGCTTTGTGTTATGTGAGTTTATTAACAGATAATTTTGTGTATAGGTCATTGTTGACAAACTAACATCCCTGAAGACCTCTGTGAAAATGTAATGTTTTATATCCTGATTAATATATTGATTTTAGGCCCTTTACATGTGCTTCACTTTGTAGAGTTAATCCATAAAAATGCTTTCTACTTTAGCCTTTAAAGTGTAGTAGTATTTTGTGAACCGGAGGCCAAAGCCTCAATGTAACTTTCCCACAGGTTTTTAAAGCTCCACTAAGATTAATGATCTATTCCTCTTTACTTTTTACGGTCAGAACTGGTAACTGTTGGAATCTTGTATCTACCTGCCAGAAGCATTTAAATCTGGTTCATTGCTGCAGCCAAATCCCTGACAGTCTGAAGTGCTGTACTATCCATGTTTAAAAATGGAAAGAGATACTGTTGAGTAATGAAATTTCGGTTTTACTTTTAATTTAGGGGAAACAGAGAAATCAAGTCATTTGCACTTTGTCCCTGTGAATCACCTAATAAATTATTACACCAGCGCATCTGTGCCTGAAGGTTTCGTGGCAGGTGGACTAAGCTGCATACGCTGGGCCATTGCCCCATCTAAACTATTTCATTGCCCTGAGCCTGTATTACGTCGGGTGATGCTAAGATGTAAGTGAATTAAGATGTGGCAAAACAGCATAGTGTCTAATACAGAGTCTGAAAATTGTGGAAGAAGACGGGGATGAGAGAGTGATAAATGAATTTGCTAGGACAAGTATGTAGTCAAAGGACAAGAAAAAAAATAATAAATCACACCATCTTACATTCTTGGAAGAAGAGCAATCCTTCAGTTTCCAGGATGGTTTTATTAAAGGTCCCATGCTGTGTATAAACATACAAGTGATGAGAAAAACGTTAACTTGAAACATGCACTTATCTGGCATTCTCTAAAATACCATTATACAAGTTTTCCTTTACTTAGAAAAATACCCACTAAAACAGTCACATTTTTCCTTAAAGATTTAAAAACAAATGTATTGGCCAGAACAAAGTCCAAGAGAATAAACAAGATTCTGAATTGTGTGTCAAAAAAACTGTACAAGGTTGTACATAAAACTATAGCTTACAAAAGCCTCGGGTATAGTAAGAATACAGAATTAAGATTTCCAAAGTTCTATTTACCAATATCTATTAATAAAATCCTTATGAAATAATTGACTTAGAAAAAGTGAAATGCTCATGATTTCAAACTGTATAGAAAATACTAAATATCACTTTCTGAAATAAAGTGTACTCAAAACAGCACAGGTAGTCTAAAATCAAAATTTCTGTCCTCCATTTAAACTTTGCCACGTATCCCCATAATGGCTTGAGCACAAAATGTCTCTTGCATTACTAACTTTGAATACTAGATTCAAATCATCTCATAATTTTCATTTTTATCTTTTGGATTATGGCCAGTCTTAAAATCCATTTTGGGGGGTAAATCATGTCATGGTGGTTGTTGGTTTTTTTTACTTTAATATAATTTTCATTTAAAATTACTGCAGTAGAATTTAGGAGTTTGGTGCCTGACTCAAATCTTTTAGAAATTAACATAATTCTATGGGCAATGAAAATAGAATGAAAACTAAGAGGATTTTAAATTAATTTTCATGTTTCTGCCACTAATCCTTGCTTTGGGGGAATGAATCTTAAAATCAAGAAGTGAGTGGAAAAAAATCAGGGTACTTACTAATCGAATCACCAAGCCAGTTGGCAGTTTTAAGGCTTATATACATCAGCATTTTAGAAACGGTCTGTGTTCTGTTCTTTTACCCATTTTTGTGGGAAACGAGGCTCTACAACTATTGACATTTCCTATTTTGGATGAGACGGTACTTAAGCAACACTTGGAAAATCCTGTTCCAAGCTACTTACACTTCAGTGGTATAAGTAGTATACTACTGGAGATAAGAAAGTTTCCCAATAATAAACATAAGATATATATTATATCTTGTTTTTCATATATAAAGGGAGCTAAGACGGGACTGTTTGAGAACAAGAATGAATTGACTAATTCAAACGAGTTTGCCTTATGAAGATGTACAAAGAACCCTCATTTTAAACTTGGATAGTAGTAGTCTTAACGTGATTAAGTTCAGAATTTTTAACTTCTGTATTTTCACCTAATTGAGATGTACGCTTACTCGGTCTTTTTCATGTAAAGGACACTAACTGTCCTTTTTCAAGAAAATCATACTCTCCATTAATGTCATTGAGTTTTAGCATCAAGCGAGCTCATGCATACGTGGCCAAAGGATGAAGTCACCTTCAGTGGTTTTATTGGTCAAGAATCTAGCAGATTCTTAACTTTTTTTTTACTCCCTTTCTAAAATCACCTTCAGTGAGAGGAAGCACGGAGACTAAAATAACACTTCTGTTGACAAGCAGATTTCACTTAAATACGCCTGTGGGTCTCAAGAGTTGGCATGACTGCTGAGGAAAAAGAAAAAATCAGATGAAACAGAAGTATGCTCTTGATGTTGCTAACACACAGGCTTGGCCAGTAGAGTCCTTCTGTGTGGCCCGCAGTCACAAGTCCCACTGTAACCACCCGATGCAGGCCACATATTCACACTGCCCGGGATGGACTAAATCAGGCTATAAGGTGTAACACTGTACCTGAAAGACTTTTCCATTTTAAAACAGGTTCTCTGCTTCTCTCATTCGCTGCATTTTCCAATACCAGTTCCTAAATGTCACAAAGTGGTACTTAAAAAGCAAGGTACTGGAAAATGACTGCATCATGCCACACTCGGTCTTAATATAAGACATCAGAACACGTCTCTAACAACCACGAGTCCTTCAGGATCAAGGCCTGGCCCCGAGTTCAAACATCAGATGGAACGTTGAAGAGAGAGGTTATCTGGTTCTCCAGGCTCTACGGATTCACGCCCGGCCTCTGCCTTTCTGAGTGTGACTGACAGAGGTCGCTGCAGTACTGCTCAATTTGTGTCACAGCGCTACGACCTCTTGTGCTTTTTTTTTTGCTGGAATTGGCAAAGTTTAAATGCAGTGACAGAACATAGACTACCTTCTGCACGTGCTTTTTGTTTTGTTTTGAAAGAACAGAAACTGCTGTCCGTGAATGCTTTAAGAAAGATTAAGAAAGTAGCTCCAGCGTCCTGAAAATAGTTTCCCGTACTGCCAGAAGAATTTCAGTGCTTTTTAGTAAAACACTTGATATAATACCTTAAGTCTCATGATGTGTGCACCAGGAAAAAATTCCAGACTTTGTGGAGATTCCCCATTGGAAATACTGGGGAAACAATACAAATAGAATATTAAAAAAATGAAAACACCATTAAGTTTGCATATCTGATGTCAAGATGCTGAGGTAATATTGAGTGCTTAAAAAAAAATCCCACCAATCTTTGCCTCTGTTATTGCTGAAAAAGACATTAATACTGACTGAGTTACCTTACTATATCAAAAGTAGGAGGGAGGTTTCATTAACATTTCCTACCGGTGAGGCGTAATGTTCAAAAGCAAGTAAACAAAAACAGGTAAATGGGAAAATATAAAACTACAGTTGATGGTATTACCCTTTCTATCTGCAGTGAGGGAGTCAGTCCATCCGCAGTGGGCTTTCTCACTTCAGCCGTTCCACGGTTGCCCCTTCGTGAATTTTTTCGGTTCATTGTTGCCACCCACTCCGCTGCTACTCCAAGTGAATCCGTAAAAATAAAATTCACAGGTTCTCAATAAATAGTTGCAGTTCCTCCTGAACATGCTGGGGGTAAAGTGCAGACAGAAGCACCACAGAAGCCCCTTGCTGGCTGATATGGCTTGCCTAAATTCGGATTTGGTAGCCCACTTCATTCAGCGTGCTGAGCTCGGCCACCTTCTTCTCAGGCAGTGCAGGCCTAAGGGCCCAAGAAAGGTGGTGGGGTGAGGGCATGGGAGAGAGAAAGGTCACTTGGTTTTTGACTCCGAGAACTCTACTTCGTTCCCCTAACCCTTCCTGGTGCCCCCCCCCCCCCACCAGCCTGAGTTCCCCGCTCAACCCTGGTATTCTCAGGTCCGCGTCTACAGGATCCAGGGAATATTTTCACAGGCTTTCGGTGTAGAGTTCAAAAATATTTACGGGTTGCCGAATGAGTTTGTCCAACCTGAAGCCTGAATTTGGCCACGCTGTAATTTCTGAAATCCAGTTATCTGTAAACCTTGCAAGGGTCTAAAAGTTACATCTAATATGGTAGAACTAAACACCAGAGCCAAATTCTCCCTGAAACCTTAGCTTTCTGGTGTTGGTGCCCTGGAGGGAAGCCCAGCCACTAACTCTAAGACCTCTCAGGTGACTGATTTGTAGGGAGAGATTCTCGACTGTCTTTGATAAGAGGGTTACTCTTCCAGGCCTGAATGCGTAAAGTCAGGACAAATCCTTTACAATTCATCTGAAAAAGCACGTCAGCGTGGAAAATCATTCAGTGGCAAATCAACTCCTCTCTAAATACATTTTCTGAAGCACTGAGCATTTACGTGAAGCCATGTAAGAAAGTACTTCAAGCTGGTAAGTGAAAATCAAGAAGCACATCATCTGTCTTCATTAAAGACATTTCCTCAATGATTTCCCAATATAAAACTATGCCTAAGCATTCTCACGACTTAGCTCACGGTTGTCCCATTTCTTGGTGAGCCTTCTACCCTCTATGATAAGCGAGAACCGAGATTATAAACCAAGGTGAGATATTCGGTGTGGCTAGTGGATCCTAATTCAAAAGTTTCACATTTAGCCATTTTTATAAGAAGACTGAAGACGTTTTTAGGCTACATGTCAAACCTTGTTTTAAGTGCTTGAAGAAAAGAGACCAAAATGAACATATAATTGTTTAAAAGCTTCTTAGTTTATCCTTTGAAAGTCTTCCTAACAGCAAACAGTTTTCCCCTGGCATAAATTTGGTCCAACTCATTCAACATTAACAGAGCCAAAAATGAACAGCTAGCTTCGTCTAGGGGGCTGCTTAAGGATTTCGGCAAACAGGTTCTACCCCCTACATATTCTCATTCTAAGTCTCTGTCTCTCCCTCTACCTCCATCTCCTCTCCCTTTCTTCCTCTTCACCACCCCTCCCTCCGTTTCTCTCTTTGTTCAGAGATGTCCCATCTCTGAAGAGTCATCAACAGCCTATGGACATCCCCTCTGAATCCTGATTATTCAAAGTGGTTAAGAAGCCTTTCCTGAGGGCTACTACTCAAGAACTTGTTAACTTGCTTGTCCCTGTATTGCCTGGGGCTGAGCGCTGATTTCTCAGCATGGTCTGGGCCCTGCTTTATGGGTCAGGAATCATGCCTCTTGTTTGTGTGTCACCTTGGAGCCCATCAGCTCTGAGGAAACAGTTTTCTCCACATTTTTCAAAGTCTGTGTTCCTAAAACTTTACCCTCACCCTTGGTCCACTACTGGCTCCCTTAAGATTTTATTTTTAAGCAATCTCCACAACCAACATAGGGTTCAAACTCACAACCCCAAAACCAAGAACCCCATACTCTACCAGGTGAGCCAGCCAACCACCCCCAAAACAGACATACTTTAATTTGGGGGTTTTAAGCGTCCTCTTTCTAAACTTTTCCTTAGTACCTCCCTCCACCAGTTCCCCGCCCCCATCCATCTTCCAGGTGCTGAGAAATCACCCCGATAAATAGCTTTCATTTAGTTAGCACTAGTTAGGGGCCAGGCATTGCTTTGAGAGGTTTACAGGGATTAACTAATTCTCACCATAACCTGATGGGGTTGATACTGTCCCTACCCATTTTACAGGGGAAGAAACCGAGGCACTGAAAATTAGCGAACTTGTTTAAAGTAGAGTCACCTGTTTAGCAAGTGGTGGAGCCAGAGCTCATCCCCAGAATCTAGGGCCCCTGCCTGTAACCATGAGGCAAACTGATCCATCCTCCCGCTTCCCACCCAAAGCATCCTCCCAAGCATCGAAGGATGATACCACGACACCCCGTCTCTGCACTGTGACTTACAGAATGCCGTCCCCCGTGTCTTCTTGCCATCCCTTCAAGGTCCAGCCCAAATAACACTTCTCCCCTAAGTATTTTCTGACTTTCCTTCCCTCACAATGCATCTGTGGCTAGGGTATGTCCTCTGATACATCTGGTAAAGAATCCTGCAGGTTCATAGTCCTTAGGTCTGCCTCGGAAACTCAACAAATTGAGAGCAGGGATCAAGTAAATTCACCTAGGAAACCCCATTGTGTACTTCTCAATAAACGTGGTTCAAGTTCTCACTGATGCGTAAATGGCTAATAGGGCTTCATTTATGTTACCTTTATCATAGGATGTTTTAAACAAAGTTCTAAGCCAGGAATTCAAGTCACCATAACAACATTCTAAGAATTAAGGGGAGCCTGAGTGGCTCAGTCGGTTAAGTGTCCGACTTCAGCTCAGGTCATCATCTCACGGTTTGTGAGTTCAAGCCCCGCGTTGGGCTCTGTGCTGACAGCTAGCTCAGAGCCTGGAGCCTGTTTCAGATTCTGTATCTCCCTCTCCCTCTGACCCTCCCCTGCTCACGCTGTCTCTCTCTCTCTCCCTCTCTCTCAGAAATAAATAAAACATTAAAACATTTTTAAAAAACATTCTAAGAATGAACATGTGGGAAGAATTTTTTCTGTACAGAAAGAGCTTCACCTTACCTCTCAAAGCCACCTGGGGAACCTGCCTGCTTGGAAAGTAGAATGAGGCTCTGCAATGACAGAGAGCTTGAGGGCTTCCAAAGGAAAGGAACCAGATTGTTTCCTTCCTCTGTATCCTACCCGCCCCCCCATCTCGCCCTAGGTATCCAGAACCCAGGGGAGAACAAAAGGCTAATACTGGCAGAAATGGAGTTCAGCTGAGATCCCCAGTGAACTGCCTGGAAGAGGAAACCCTCTTCTCTCACAGCGATACTGGCTGCAAATTCCTGGCCTGGCGAAGGGCAGAAGTGGGTTATCCCGGCCTGCCACCTGGCACCTGGGTTATCCTGGCCCAGCCAGAAATACCGTTCCCTCCCGGCCAGCTCGTCTCGAGGCCAGGGCTTGTGTGTGCAGAGATCTCTTCCAAGTGCTCCCCTGGCTATAATTAGAATTCTGCAAAGGGATTTATTTTTAAGAAACACAAGCACCAGGATGATGATTCAGCCGGATCTGCACTTGCCCAGAGCCTCCCAGCAGATCCACAGCTATTATTTTAGACTGAACAATGTATTTCTCCAAACCCCTCCCCAGTCCAGACAGGGAAAAGATCTCAAAGGCCTCTCCTTCTGAAGGGCTCTTGGCCCGCCTGCTGTTTTAGGGAAAGCGGAGTAGAGGACTTTTCGTCTCCAGGTCTACACATTGTGCAAGGGAAGAAGGGGCACTTCCCTTAGCCCACAAATGGATAATCCCAGCCTCATCTGCTGTCACGTAAACATATCCAGGGTGACTTAGGGTGACTGCTCAACGGCATGGCTCCAAGTGTGTCCCCTTACTCCTAACCTCAGGCCTGCGTCCCCGGAGTCAGCTGAGGGAGAGGTTGTTCCAAAGGGAGGCAGGTTGAGGACAGGATGGTGGCTCCACAGAGAAGGTATTCTGTAGCACGGAAACCTTAGTCACCAGCATGGTGGAAATTCACACTCTGAATTTCTTTTATAAGTAAGCACTTTGCCTAACGTGGGGCTTGAACTGATGCCCCTGAGATCAAGAGTCGCATGCTGTACCGACTGAGCCAACCACAAGCCCTGATGCTATTTTAATGTGACCTCACATTTTTAATGCGATCTCTCATCCCAGGTAGCTAGGAGTAGATATGGTACTTTGAGTTTTCCAGTTTGCCTCAATCTTATATGGTTTGTGATTTGTTCACTTAATCCAAATATATCTACCAAACGCCAGTAGTGTTCACCACCGCTACCTGAACCTTGAGATTCTGGGGAGAATGAACCATCACCTCGAGCCTTGAGTCTCTCACACACCCTGAGGCGGCCTCAGTGCCCAGGAAGAGCTTGGCTAGATTGGATGTTGGTGTCAGTGAAGCCACAAGGAGGCTCAGAACCAGAAAGCTCATGGCGGCATGGCGGGGACCGAAGTGAGGCCCTCACATCCTAGGGCTAAACATACCAGCTGCTCTGTGTCTGTGTGAGGCTGGGTTTAGAAGAGAAGAAGCAGGAAGTGGAAGGAAAGCCAACAAATCCCCCTTGAATCCCCAGTCCCTTTTCTGCACCGCTGTGTAAGGCCTGTGTCTGGGGCAGCTCCTCTCCTCGTTTCTCAACACCCACCCCTCCTCACTCGGCAGCTGCTGGGGGATTGAGGGTCAGAGGACCCGGGTGGCAGCTGTGAGAACAGGCTCCTGTAGCTTGCTTGTTACTTTCTTATCCACAAGATAACCAGCATGGAGCCCAACACAGGGCTTGAACTCATGACCCCGAGATCAAGACCTGAGCTAAGATCAAGAGTCAGATGCTTAACTGACTGAGCCACCCAGGCACCCTAGACCACGAAAATTTATAAAGCAGCATTTTGTGCCAAGTACCTCGTAGGTCTTGGGGTTACTATGACCTAAAGCTGTTCCTCCTTTCCCTGGAGCCGAAGTCCATTCCCGTGGATGGAAATCTGCCTCTTGCTTCTGTCTGTGAGGATACTTCAGGGACACAGCCCATCTATGTCTAGTTCAGGGCCGCCTGACTGGGACACACAGGCCACCACGCTGTTCGTTCTGCTTACTCCTTTGTCCCCTGAGGTCACAGCCCCCACAGGCTGGCAGTATACATGCCCATGTGTTCATCTACTCACCCTCCCACACAAACACCCCCATAAAGACCATATTCTCTGTGGACTCAGGGTTCTAGAAAGGCATATACAGTGAGGGTGCAACTCTAACACTGACCTCTCGGATCTCAGTGTTAAGG